AACACCAAGAGGAAAAGAAGTGGAATATTCACAGTTGCAGTTTGGAGGTCAGATAAAGCAACTTGTAATCCTGACCAAGTGAACCAAAGCATTTATTACTCTTTGGTGGCAAAATCCCTGAAGTGCAAAAATTACTAAAAATGAAACAGGCAATTATTTGTGAGTAAAATGTCAGTAAAGTCTACAGGATCAAAGTTGTTATATTGTTGCAATGATAACATTTATTTTAGCTGTTTCTAGTTGATAAAGTGCTTCCTCCTCCATGATCTAATTTGGGCCCCAACCGCCTTGAAAGAATTTATGTTGTTATTTAGTACATTTTTCAGATAAGGAGGTGAACTTGGACTTGTCCAAGATTACTGAGCTAGTAGGTGGAATTGCTGGGGTTTGATTGGGGCCTTCTGACTCCAGATCACTGGTTCTTTCCTCTGCACTCTGCTGTCGTCCTATGATCAGAATTGTTTCTGTGATCATTTTGCACCTAACACTACCCTGATATGCATTTTCCTCTTTTATGGATTTTGCCTACTAGAAACAATGATTTCTTTATCCTAGTCTTTTTCCCCACAAGAATGTTTATTGCCAAGACATAGATATTTCTATCACATGGTGATTATGCTCAGTATGTATTTTTTTCCCAGTATTAAATTTTAAGCCACATCGTAAGTTATAAATTGGTAAAATGAGAAAGGTAAGAAACCTCAGTTTATCCATGTGATCTCAGCCTTTTTGGATAGGAAGATCTTTTAACATCAGAGCTTTTTGATCACACCCTTATTGTGGGATCTACTGATTGAGAGAACGATGTATAGATTGGGAATCCCTTGTAATAAGTCTAGGTTGGGACCCACCAGTCTGTTGGTGGTAAATCCGACCTAAAGGGTCTGGAGGGGGATGCTCTTGGGAAGATTCTAGAGTATTTGCCAATATCATCAGACGAGGTTTTCTTCATTCTGTCTCTTTGTAAGGAACCTAAAAGATAAGTTAGGTTCTCGTTTTCCAACTCAAGGGTTTTCTCCAGCACCCCCAAACCACCCCCATAATATCCTAGTGAAGCAACTACTCTATTTTCAGAAACTTTATCAATGTTAACCCATGGTTAATAGTGTCATCATGATTAAACTTGAACTGGAGGAAGAGTTGATTGAGATGTTGAATCAGACTTGGTGGCAAGCGGAATCTCGTGTGACTGACTTGGGTTGTGCTCTAACCCTCCCACTCCATGTTTAATTTTGCCTCTTTACACAGAAATTTTAAAACGTGACTTTATATTGAGGCCCCCGCACTCACAGTTCTTCTTTCAAGCACAAGAGCCTCTTCACAGGGGGGAAAAGGCCAGCACAAAGAGGGAATTAGTTAAAGCTATAAAATAATTGGAGCCAGAAGCTGCTCTGGATGAAAGGGCCACACGGTGACTGGGATGTGCTGGTCCCTCAGTGTGCATCATGAGGAGCCGTGGTTTGGAGACCACAGATTTTCCATTATAAGACAGCTGGGCATTATGTCTTCCTACAGAATACAAGAAATATTGCTGTGAATTTCTAATGGAGCTGTAGATGATGTTAATAGTGAAGAAAGCATTGAGCTGAGAGCCAGGAAACCTGCTTCTCCCTGGGGAGAATCGTTTCGCAGTCCAGCGTCCGCTTGGGATTCCTGCAGCCTCGACTCTCACATTGCATGCTGAGAAAATCTCCTTCTACTTAGATTAGCTGTGGGAATCATCACCCAAAAGTTATAATTAATGATTTCAAGTGCATTCAGATAACATCAATAAAAACTTTTGACATCGCTCTAAATAAAGGAACATGACTATGTCATGTTAAATTAGTACCCAGATATTGGGCACATAAATGCTCTATTTATCTTTTTTGTATAATGAGTGTTATGTCTGCAGCTTAAACTTTGGCCATGAAAATTTATAAATGGACAAATGAAACAAGAGTTAGTGTCAGAGTTGCAAAACTGGATCATATTCAGTTTCCTTCTGAAAAAGTTGAAGGAATAGAAAACTGTCATTTAAAAATAGCCTAAAACAGGAACTTTCTTTTTTTGGTAGGTGGGGCTGTTGGGTGCTTTGCATATTGAATCAGAGGAACCATGACTAGCCCTTTAAAATAGCAAATAAGGCAGGAGAATTTATTTTTGTTTTAATTTTGACTGGAAACCTTTCTAGCACCAGTAAGCAGCCTTGTGTTAATGTAAGGGGGGTGTGCAGTGGTGGCACTTTTGGCTTGTGTGCCAGAGCTGCCTCTTATCTGATATTATTCTGTCTAGGGGTGGCATTCTCTGGTCAGTATCACCATAAGTCACCAAATAATCTGCTCTTTGGTTACTCATCATGGAAGCTCACAGGGCTAGAATTAAATGGAAGTGGTTTAGGAGTGGACAGAGTTTATTGCCAGCCACTCACGTTAAAAGTGGAGAGGAAAGCACTTAGAAGGGAGAAGCAGTGTGGATTCCAGGTGACCATTGTGTTCAGCACTTGGCTTGATCCCCGTCTGTCCCCCCACCATCTTGGTATGGCTTCTTCTCTTTCACCCACAAACATGTCCTGAGCACAGCCAGAGATGGGATAGATATGCAAGTGAAGGGATGAGCGAGACATATCCGCCTCCAGGAGCCAAGGGCATGGTGTGGGAGGCAGGAAAGTCACCAGCCAGGACCAGGCTGTGTCAGAGCAAGTGAGGAGGGTGGAACCCAGTGGACGGAGCAGCAGGCAGAGGGTGGGCTTCCTGGTGGAGGTGACCTCGAGAGCCAGAGCCAGCCCTGCTAGCCTGGGAAGGGGTGTGGATGTAGGGAGGGGTCTTCAATTGTAGGAACTTGGTACATAATGGCACAGAAAGGTGGTACAAGGGGGGTGCAAGTGGAGGGATGTGGAGACAATGGGAGGGGGACGCCGAGAAAGACATAGACGTTAAGGAAACCAGAAGCACTGTCAACTCTGAGTTCCAGAGGAGGAGCAGTTAACTGTTTTGTAGATAACGCTGTTAAAAAAAATGTATCTGAAAAAATAAAAATGATTCTACTCAGAAATAGTCTCCACAGGTTTTACAGTTGTACTCTTTTAGTCGTATTTTACCTCTTAGTAATTAGTAGCTGCTGTTGGTATTTACTGTAATGTGCAGTTATGCCTACCCCCGGCTCCGTACATACCAAAGTGTTCTCTGTAGAAACTGGTCCCTTGTAATGATTGGGGAACCGCGAGAACTCTGCTTTTCTTGCTCCTGAGATTTTGTTTCGTTGTTCTCTCTGTTATTGTTGTTGTTTTGTTTGTTTACTAAACCTGGAACTAGGAAGGGAGGATGGAAAAGGAACGGCGGCGTCCACACTCCAGCCCAGAGCTCCTCTTTAAAGGGCACACCCTGAACAAATGACAGGAGGCCTTTTCATTTCAGAGTTTGATTCTCAGTGTCCTCTGGTCACCGCTCTGTCCCCCAAAGCCGAGAAGCACGATGGTCTGGGAGACCGACACCTGAAGGAGTTCACCCCAAGTTTAAAGATAATTAAACCTCAACCAAGTGGCTTCCTGGTGGTGCCCACAAAGCAGGTGTGAGACCCTGAGCCACGAAACTGTGGCCGGTTGCTTGGTGGAGTTTGCTCTTCATCCTGGGAATAGCGGGGATTGAGGGAATATTTCAGCAGGAATGTGCTATGATAATTGTGCTCTGAAGATTGCCGTGGCCGTTATGTACAGAAATGGCTAGGAGGGAGGAAAGCTGGAATCTAGGAAGGAGAGAGAGATGGCACCGAGCCCAGTCAGCCTCCATCCCGGCGTGTGGACACAGAAAGTGTAGCCTGCATGATAATTGTGCTCTGAAGATTGCCGTGGCCGTTATGTACAGAAATGGCTAGGAGGGAGGAAAGCTGGAATCTAGGAAGGAGAGCGAGATGGCACCGAGCCCAGTCAGCCTCCATCCCGGCGTGTGGACACAGAAAGTGTAGCCTGCGCTGAGGCATCCGATTGGCTGACATCGAGAGCACAGGGTGTGTTTGGGGGGGCGGTGGCTGATGAGATCAGCTTTCCTATGCTGAGTTAGAGGTGCCCTGGGACATCAGGTCAGTGTCTTAGAATAGGGGTCTGGGGCTTGGAAGAGGGACAACAAGATCTGGAGAGGTCTGAGAGGCTGGCACTGTGGACAGTCACTTAAATGGGTTGATGAGGTCCCCGAGAGAATGTGCACAGGGGCAGAGCCCCAGAGAAAGGGCTGAGAGGGACAGGTGCAGGGCAGGCCCAGGGCCCCCAGTAGCATGTGTTCCTAAAGGAGGAGGCAGGGCCAGAGAGCTGTTGACAGGGAGTTCAGATACTTCAAGAACAAAGAAACTTCCATAGGATTTTGCAACAAGGTTGTCTTTGGAGAACTCAGACCCTTTACTGTGTAGCAGTTTAAGAGGAAGCCTGGTTTCGCCTCAGGTTCCTCACTCTCCTCCGCCTCCTGGTTCCCTGAACCCTGGTCTGTCTCCCCAGCCTCCTCTCTAGCCCTTTGACTCTGCTTCCCCATCTCCCTCCTTCCTTTCTCCTCCGTGGCTGCTTCCCTCATCCCTCCTGTGCCACACTCGAGAGAAACTCGGTTTTTACTCCTACTTAAATCGAGCTGTACAGTCCTTATTCTTATTTTTTAAAGTATTCTTCTTTTTTCTATCAAGGAAAAAAATGAAATAAAATTACTTAGAGAGTTGACTTTTAAATTATAGTTCTTTTAAAATCAGTGGTTTTCTAGATTTCTATAGAAAACAGCTTTCTTCCCGCACACTCAGAACTTGTGCTTTGAGACATTTGTGTGTGTAGTTATGTAGCTCATGGGGTTTTGTAAAACAGAATTTAATGATGGTTTTAAAATCGAGTCACCAAAAGTAGCCCTCACCCCCAGCTTGAGGACAGTGTGACTCAAGTGTTTATTCTGAGGTCAGGTTCCCAGGCCTCCCCGAGCAGGTGCTGCAGGACTTCAGCTTGATTTGGCATCGCCCGCCTGGAAATTGAGTTGCTGAGCCACTGGCGCCACTTCTGGGCACCTCATCTCTGCCTCAGCAGCAGCCTGAGGCCCTGCCCAGGGGACTGAAGGATGCCACAGCACCACAGAGGCTGCCCAACAGAGCTCCCACCACAGGTGCCACCCTGGCCTCAGCCCCCACCCTTCCTCGGAGGTGCTGGCTTCCAGCCCCCAGCCTCCCTGGTGGCCACATGGCACGCTGGGCAGGGGGCTGTCTGCCTGGCAGCTGTGGTGCTCCAAAGGTGAGCCATCTAATGTCCTGGGCCCACCGAGCTCTCCCACTCCAGGGACACCCAGGGTGTCACCCTTGAGTCCTCTCTTCCTCTTCCACCTGCTGCCCTGACAGCTCATCTGCAACACTCTCATTTCTTTCAAAACAGGTCTGGCTCCACCAGTGCACGGTTGTCTGTCATCCAGACTACCGCAGTTGTTTCTTAACCAATGCTGCCCAGTTTGGCAAATAGAAAACCAAAGTGCCCAGTTAAATTTAAGTTTTGGATAAACAAGAAATAATTTTTCAGTAGACGCTGCCCATGTATTTTACCTGGCAATGCGCTTCTCCTAAAGGGTCTCCCTCCTGTCTCTTTGGCTTCCCTCTGTTTAAACTCCACAAAGCAGGCAGAGACAATTGGATGATTTTTTGTGTGTGCATTTTTTATATTGTGGTAAAATATACATAACATAAAATACCATTTTAACTAAGTTTAAGTATACAGTTAGTGGCATCATGTACATTCACATTGCTGTGAAACTAAACCACCATTCATTTCCAGAACTCTTTCATCCTTCCCAGTGGAAACTCTGCACCCACCCGTGCCCCTTCCATTCTCTGTCTCTGTGAATCTGACTGCTCTAGGGATCTCACCAGTTGGATGACCTCACACCCCTACCTGGTAACCTTCAGTGGAATCCCTGCACTTACAGGAGCTCTTGATGGCCTGTGGTGTGACTGATGCCCAGCACCAGGCTTTCTTTAGCTCTGGAGCCCACGAGCTCTTTCCCATCTTAGTATCCAGCCCACCTCCCCAGCCCACCTCCTGGAAACTGACACCCTCCGCTCCATGCCACCTCACACCTCTGGCCCAAGGACGCCTTCCCTGACCTTTCCTACTAAAGTAATTTCATCCCAGACCCCTGCCCCTCATTCTTCTCTGTCTTGGCCTCCTGTCCATTCCTTTCACAGCATGTACTGCAACTTGAATTTTTGGACAAATTCTTGCATAACTTTGTATCCCAACAACCCAGTACTGTGCCTTGTATGTAGTAAGTACTCAGTAAATATTTGCAGAATGCCTGTATTAGCCACTTAAAATGGGGACTGTCTATATTCAGTTTAAAACAGAAAGTCTTTTATTCTCTGCTTCATACAGCTCTGAATGAGTAACCAGAGNCTGCGCTCGGTTCTGGCTGGTGGCTCTGGCTTGTGGGCCCTCTCCAGCACACCCATCATCATGCCTAGTGATCCATGTCTTCAAACGCAGGCTGCCCTGATTCTTGACTTCCTCCCCTCCAGGGCGCTGTCCTCTCCCTGAGCCACTCTGTGCTGTGCCCAATCCTCTGTGCCCTCCATTCTTTCCTCTTCATTCATCGCTTCCCCTTGTCCTGCTTACTTCCCAGGGCTCCAGCTGCAGCAATGTCAGCCCCTTCCCAGCCCCAATCCTCTGTGCCCTCCATTCTTTCCTCTTCATTCATCGCTTCCCCTTGTCCTGCTTACTCCCCAGGGCTCCAGCTGCAGCAATGTCAGCCCCTTTCCAGCCCCCCCCATCTTCTCTCCTTCCCTAGCTTGCAAATACTCGCTTGCCCCTCCCCTTTGTCACAGTGCCTGCTAATTGCCAGCCATGTGTAAGGGCAACTCTTCACCTGTTGTGACCAGCTGGCTTCTTGCACTTCTAATTCCAGACCACTGACCCGAGGCTCTGGTAATCCTACGTGTCCCTAATACATTTCCTCCCACTTACTCCTGGACAGCAACTTCTCACCTTCCTCTCGCCTCCCTCTTGGTGGCTGACCTTGCTGTCTTTCACTGAGAAAGGAAGCTGCCAGCTCTTCCCCTCACTCAGAATTCAGGTGGAAGCCCTCGCAATGGCTATTTGCCTGCAGGGTTAGTCATGACATAGGTTAGCTTTCAGAAGTTTCTTCTTTCCATACATTTTTTATTCTCTTATTTGTATGGAAATCTGTGTTGCAGGGTTTTATGTACTTGCCTTATCATAAGAATCATCCTGGGCTCTTGTTTAAAATCTATCAATTTCTGGGTACTTCTCCTGTCTGTCAGTAATCAAGGAAGAGGTTCTAGAACAAGCCGCAGGTGTCTTGTGAGCTTGGATGAGTCTGGGAAACATTGCCATTGAGAATTTGCTGAACTGAGTGAGTGATCATTTTTCGAGTTCCTGTATTTTACAAAGGCATGTTTCTTTTCCCCACCGTAAAGCTACAGCTGCCAGAGGAATTGTATTTCTCACTGCTTTAAGTTAGTGAAGCCCAGAGATTGCCCAATCACTAGGCCTAGACGAATTCTACCTGGTGAGCAAATCCTTGACCTGCTTCTTCCTCAGACTCAGCTGTTCCAGGCCCAGCCCCGCCCCTGCTCCCTATGCTGCAGAAGAGGGAAACCTTCCCTGCTCCATTCCAAACACACGTTGTATTGAAAGTTCTTGTGAAAGGGGTTGAAATAGAAATAAAGATTATAGCAAATGTCTTTCAGGAATATTTGGCATTTATTAGATCTTGTTACAGACTTCCTTCAAGTTTGTTGCAGGACAAATAAGAATTGTTTTCCAAGTTCGATTGCTTGGAATTCTTTTCAACCTAACAAACTCAAGTTCCTTAAGTTTTATTTTAGTTGAAATGTAACACAAGTGCCTGCTATGTATTTTCTTCACTGCTTGGCTATCTGACACGGTGTATATTTATTTGCTGATTTGTTATTTTCTGTCTTCGCCCTTAGAAAGCAAACTCCACAGCAAAGACAGTGTTTAGGTGGCTCCTGCACCTAGGACCGGGCAGGTCATAGCAGGCAAGCAAGACTGTGTGTAAATGGAGAGATGAGTGGATGGATGCATGTCAGTCCCCATAAGCTAATGGGAGACCATCCTCAGAAGTACCTTGACCGTCAGTCTTTTAATATACTAAGAGTGTACTCAGGGCCTGGCATCCTAGTGAAGCTAAAAAGGTCCAGAACTCTAAATTATACCCTTAGCTGTTTTCTCTTAACTCATGGCATTGATATGATTATTTAAATTTGAATATATACCTAGTGACTAATCCTGGGAGTCCTTCAAAATTCATATAGCACACGAGTATTCATGCCCTGGGAAATTTGGGGAAAATGTGAGTTTCTATCAGAGCTCATTTTTTGAAATAGGTTTTTTTTTCTTTTTCCTTGCTAGAAATAGATGCATGTTTGCTCCAGAATTATTGAAAAAAATTGAAAAAGTATCATCAGATCCTATGACTCCAAAGGAAATTATTGCAAATATTTTTGTTATTATGCTATATTTCAGTTTTATTTTATTTTTCTAACAACTTTTTAAGTATTAGCATTGATAATGGATTAGAAAAGTTC